AATCAAGCTGTGACTTTCAAGTTAGTCCAGAAGCTGGAGTAAGCTCCGCTGCAAACCTCTTCAGTACAGTGGCAGGAATCAAGTCCGGACCAGAAGCTTTGTTGATGTCGAGCGACAAGAGCACTCGTCTTACGGTCTTATGCCTGAATGTTATCTCCCGCATAGTGCAGGGAACCCTTTGATCTTGGCTAGCACTTCCGCCTTGTACTTTGAGTCGAATACAATAGTTCCATCCTGACATGTAAGTGGTGGAAGGCTACTGTGTGAGAAGTCCTTTTCAATCTGCTTGGCCAGCGTCCAGAAAGACCGACTGCCATTGCGCTGCGACATTACCCTGTGCCTAACTTTTATATCATGCTGGTTTTTGGCATTGCGAACCTCTTCGTTATATTTATTTCTGGACTCGACGTCGGCTTGTCTGTTCTCTACAGTGGGGTTTTGTAAGAAGGTTCTGTGTGCCTTGATCTTCTGCTGGCGAGTAGTGTCACATGACTTGTTAAACCAGCCATGGGACCCTGGCTTAGTCAATTTCACTGTGTGAGGGATGTATTCCTCCATTCCGACGTGGATAATTTCGGTTATCGAAGAACAGACAGCTGACGCATCCGCGTCAGTGAAACAGACATCTCTCCAAGGAAAGCTAGAGAAGAAGTCTCTGAGCCCCTCCCAGTCGGCATGTCCGTAATGCCATGTTTTGCGGCCTGTACGAGTTTCTGCTGCCACAGCGGGTTCTGACCGAAACCTAACCTCCACAACACCATGGTCTGAGTTACCCAGGGGGGGACAGGGACAGGACAGCAGTGCTGTAAGGGGCAGGATGCGTGGTCAGAAGGAGATCCAGCAGGCTACTGGCGTGTGCCGAGACGCGGGGAAAAAAGTAGGGCTCGTCACCAGCTGGATCAGCCCTTGAGTAAGAGCGAACGCTTCGACTGCACGACCTGCTGCATCGGTCTTGTTTGAGCCCAACCAAAGCTCATTATGGGCATTGAAATCACCGAGAAGAACTACCCGATCCCGATAACTGTGTAGCAGCTACTGACGAGTTGAATTGCGACTTGGTCACTATTGTCAGTTTTTCCCAGTGTCACTCCTTAATACGTAATGCATCTATATCTCTTTGCACCGAAAAATAAAACAATAAATATCAAAAGTAAGACGACAATACGTATTTATGACACTCCTCTGATGTATGAGGACCTTGCATAAGATTTGGGTGTCTTATTTGACAAGGATTTACGTTTTCGTGAGCATATATCTAAATTAGTAAAAAGCGCTTTGTGGTTTGCTAATACGCATTTCATAAATTTCAAATTGAAAAAACGTCTTTGTGAAAGCTTAGTTCTTTCAAAAATTAACTACTGCCTTATAGTTTTCTATCCTTACTTAGATCAAGTTTCAGTCCGTAGACTCCAACTAATTCAAAATTCATGTTGTCGCCTTATCTACAGTTTGAGGAAATATGACCATGTATCACAATGTATTCGTAGTTTAAAATGGTTCTTATATTTCATGTTGAAATTCATCCATGGTTTAATTACCACGGGTACTTCCGAATACCTCTTCAAATTATTTTCACTCTGTTAGAGAGTGCATGCTCAGGTATGACAAATTGTTGGAAATGCCACAACATGGTAGGGCTTTATTTACTCGTTGTTTCAGTTATAATTGTGATAAATTGTACCATGTTTTACCTGATGCATTTAAAAATGTATCTCAGACTTTAGTCAAGTTTCGTGTCAAGCAGCATTTATTATCAGAAAAGAGTCGTAGTAGTAATAAGCAGTTTGTAATTAGGTTAGTAACCGCCAGCAAAACCGATTTGATGTATTTTTGTGTTTTTTTGACATCTTTAAGAATCTACTAAATACTTTCTCTTATGGGTAGCCACCGTGTGTATATATATACAGTGGACCCCCGATAATCCGGCCGCTGTCTAATCCGGCGCCCCCTGTAATCCGACATGTCTTCGAATATGTATTACATACAGACGTATTTGACAATCTTCGCTAATGTAGATCACGCAGGTTTGAACTGGTTACAACTTGTACGCGCAACCGCTATCGTGCTCGACGCGTAAGCATTGTTTTACTTAGTTTGAATTTGACTACTGGTGATAGCGGTACGGCCTAGCGTGCGTTCATTGTTTACTATTTATTCATTGTGTATTAAGCATAGTACCTAGTAATGCCATCACAAACAGAGAATCGAAAGCACTAAACATTGACAATTAAAGAAAAATGTGATATTTTAGACCGCTTAAATCGCAATGAAACTTTCAGTAGTTTAGCAAGTGAATACGGCGTAGGCCGATCTACAATTTATGACATTAAAAGAAACCACGAGAATATCAAGAAGTTAGTGTCAACTACTGACTGCGGGCCAGGCAAGAGACAGACACTCAAGAAAGCTGAACATCCAGAAGTGGAAGAAGCTTTGTACATCTGGTTTCTTCATGAAAGAAATAGGCATGCACCAATTTCAGGACCCATGTTGGCCATGAAAGCTAAGCTTTTTTATAAGGAAATAACAAAAAAAGATGATTTTGTTGCCAACAACTTTCTAACAATGCCACCTGCATAGAGCCCTTTAAATTAAGATTTTTGCAAAAGGTGAACGATTTAAATCTTGACCCGTCACAGGTGTACAATGCAGACGAATCAGGGCTTTTTTTGGCGTGTGATGCCTAACAAAACTTTCGTTTCTTGTATCGAAAAATCCGTACCTGGACGAAAAGTAAGTAAAGAGCGTGTAACCATACTACCATGTGCTAACGCTGCGGGCACACACGCGCTTAAGATGATGGTCATTGGGAAATCTAATAAACCACGGGCATTCAAAAACATTGATTTACCTCTACACTATTACGGACAAAAAAGTGCATGGATGACAAAAGACCTTTTCAAGAAGTGGTTTGATGAATGCTTCGTACCTGAAGTTAGAAAATGGTTAAAAGATCATAATTTTCCTCAAAAAGCGTTGTTGCTTCTTGATAACTCTCCCGGTCATCCGTCTGCAGAAGAACTAACAACTGAGGATAAATGCATCACTGCAATGTTTCTTCCGCCAAATTGTACTGCACTGATTCAACCAATGGACCAGAATATCATTCAGTTTGTCGATCAAGACTATAAGAAAAGTCTACTTCTGAGAACCATATCAAAAGACCAACTAATAGAGAAAACTTTAAAAGAATTTAATATGAAGGACTTGGTTTTTGCTCTTTGTCAGTCGTTGAATGCGTTAGCGTCATCAACTATTAAATCGACTTGGAAAAAGTTATGGCCAGATATAGTCACCACTCCTAGCAACGTTCCACAAATCAGTCTTACTTCGGAAGTTATAGAACAAGTCGCTACTGCAACACAGATAAGTCCGGAAGATTTGGAAATCTGGTGCCGTGGAATGGATAAAGAGGAAAATTTTTTTCATTAAATGTCTGACGAAGAGATTATAAAAGAGGTTTCTAATTATACAACAAACAATCAGGAAAATAACGACGACGTGATTGCAACTGCTCCACAAGTCACAGCACAAGACGCAATTAACGCCTTTGAGCCAGGTTTACAATGGGCTGAAGAGAATGGTACATCCTACAACGAACTTTTACTTTTCAGAAGACTGAGGGACAAAGCTCTGATCTCGCGTTATAACAACCTTAAACAGAAAAAAATTTATGAATATTTCCAAGCTTCATAATTTGATAAATTCATTAATGATTTTGATTAATAATTCTTGATTATTTTGGTACATATGTATGTGCATTTATGCTTAATTTTATAATAAAACGTAAGCTCTCTATTGTTATTTAACTTACTAAATTCGACATACATAAACTATGTATGATTTGTACTTCAAAGTACATACATATACATAACATATATATATATATAATCTTACCATTGGATATGTAATTTGTCGGATTACAAGGTACTCTTTTGTAAAAAAATTCCGGACTATAGGGGGTCTTAGGCAGTGCTCTATAATCCGACAAATTCGATAGACGGACACTGCCCTGCATGTTTGTCGGATTACCGGAGGTCCACTGTATGCTAAACACATGTATTTACATTGGTTGAAAGCCGTAAAAATGATAGGGTTAAGTGGTAGAGTAGCTGTTTAGCTAAACTTCACCCGCTACATTGTAATTGTAAAGACGTTTTATTATTATTATTATTAAATTTGATGTTTGTGAGGGTGACCACCGTTCCCTGGTTATAAGAAACAAAAATGAAGCGTTTCATTAAGGCTGCCTAAAGAGAAAAGAAACGTTTCCGTCAGGTTTAATGGTATGGGGAAGCATATTTGCTTTAGACGTTGGAAAACTTCACTTCATGGACGGAACTGTAAACGCAGCTAAATATCAAAATATCCTTGAAAACAATTACAATTTTATAGCCTGACAGACACTTTGTTTTTCAACAAGATGGGCTAAAACCACGAAAAAATGGTGGCATGATGATAATATTTCCTTTACTGGCCTTTTAGTAGCCCTGATTTAAATATTATCGAAACTGTATGGCCCAAAATGAAGCAGCAGTTAAGAAATGATCCACAACGAAACATTTCTGATTTACGAGTAAAATTACAGAATATATGGGATTCTTTTAATGCGGAAGACGGCGAAAACCTTGTTCAAACTATGCAATGGTTCGTCCGAACATTTATGTGTCAACCAAATATTGTTGTTATCAATATTAGTTTAGTTTTTACAGTTTAATACCATATAACTTGACAATAACTTTGTTAATATAATGTCCAAACAATATATTTCAATGTCTTATAAAATATTTTGTAACCTTAAAAAAATAAACAAACTTTAAGATAAAATTAGATAGTGTCCTAACTATTTTGTGTTAGGGCTCGCATACCAGTGTAATGATCGCCTGGATAAGGGCGGCCTTTTGAATTTATTTTAAAAATCTGACAGTCAACTTCAAAACAAGAATGTAAACACTGTGTTGTGTAGTATATATAAATGATCCAAAATATGTTGTATTTACCTTACTATTAGGACTAGTCGTACAATCAAGAAACGAGCCACTGACGCTAAGCAATCCGGCGTCACTGACTGAAGACCTGCGCTTGTGCAAGCTAGGAGATGCGGTGGACATTGCCAGCGATTGGATAGTATCGTGCAGCCTCTTCCGCTTCCGTCGACTGGCGCTAGATGGCGTCGCTGTCCCTCCGGCCACCTGCGAGTCGCGCCTGCCGCCCGGCGACAACACTTGATCGACATACTGCAATATTTAGTTTCTCCATTAGCCAACTGCTTTTGCAAGTCGTTTTACGAATCGTTCGAAAGTAACACATAAGCTGTAGACAGTATAAGGAACAAAGGCAAGTGTTATAAGGGTAAAGGACAGCCAGGTAGTAATTTCCATTGAACCTACTGAATGTTCCAGCTTGGCAGGCGTAAACTAGGCACCTTTAGTGGCCTACAAGTTCTATAAAAAGGGTCGGCTAACTCTTAATGCAATATGCAGATACCTCGTTGCTTCACTCTATCATATTTTTTTATAAGTTTCATGTAGATATCACAAAAAATATGAAGCCATATTAAAAATATTACTGTATGTTGTATAGTCCAGCTGCCATTGGTGGCTACTCTACTGCAGCTTCAGAATGCATTAAAAATACCGCTCATTCATCATAGCCTACCTTGTATATTCACTATGTATACAAGTAATGATAGATACTAACGTAAATTTCTCGGCCTAAGATCAAATAAATGCAATATCTCGGCTGCTATAATAAAACTTGTTAAACCGAAATTATTATTCCTTAAAGGTACTTTACTGACTTTAAATTACATTGTAAGGTTAATACAAATTTTGCATAACGAATAAAATCTTCATCTTGCCACCACAAAGTTGCAAAAACAAGAGCTACGTTTTTATAACGAAAAGCCACACTTGCTGGAGATAACACGCTAAACACAATGTCTGATACACTGGTTAGAACATAAGTTAAAATGTCATTCGAATATCAAGTGCCGTTCACTAATTTAAAAACTTATGGTTTCTAGGCTTGATCCCATCCCCCCTCCCAGTAGGGCTGAGCAATCGCATTCTTATGATAATCTGATAATCCGGTAAAACCCGATAGATTTACTAATTTACTATTAATTACAAGAGGCTGTTATCAGGGTGGCTACTCACCCTTGTAACATTGCCGATCTCTCAATCTCGTCCTAATAGCAGATAGTCTAAGCTCACACCCACGTATGATGTAAAAACCTACATCAAGGATTGTTGGGGCCCCAGCATAAAACTGAACTTATCATTCGTTTGCACACAGGGCATGTGTGATGTCTTATAACAAATTTTGATGATCCGATATTTCAAAATCGTACACCTTTAGTGCAAGATCTGGGTCCAGTACTACCGTTCGAAAGTGATTCAGATGACGAACCACTGAGCTAACTGAGAAAAAAGGTCATACGACAAAAATGTCAGTGATGGAAGGATTTTGTGGGAAAACATCGTCTCTTCAACTATCAACTTTGCTCCACCCGAAGTCACAGTTTAAGAAAAGAGACTGGAAAACAGAATATTACATTACTATGTATTTTGACAACTCTGACGTTGAAGATATTTGTCATTGTATCGGGTGCGCCATCTTTTATGTCGGTATTGAAACATCGAATGACTTTGATATTTACCAACCGATTGATTTGGTTATACGTGTTTCTGAAAGGTCAATTTACTACAATTTTTGTAATGAATCGCTTTACACCGAAACAACGCTCCGAAATAGTCACAATGTACATTGAAAATCGTCGTTCAGTTGTGCTAACGCAACGCGCATATCGTCGAAAATATCTACACTATCCGTCGTTTGGTTTCGAATTTTATTGAGTACGGGACAGTGGGAGATCGTCAACATACCATTCAACGACCAAGAAGTTCCAATGAATCGGTTGAAGCGGTCAGAGACAGCGTTGCCCAGTACCCAAAAGTGTCGTATCGTCACCGCGCTCAGCATTTTAGCATCAGTGGAACCACGTTGCGGCGCATTTTGAAGGATGATTTGCATTTGTTTCCTTATAAGGTGTAGTTAACACAAAAAATATTGCCAACTGACCGCCCACGTCGCTTAGAATACGCCCAAACAGTCGCTCGCATGGTTGATGCTGAACCCGATTTTTGGAAGCAAATTGTGATGACCGACGAGGCGCATTTCACGCTCTCTGGCGGCGTTAATAAGCAAAACTGCCGCATTTGGGGGGGCGGAAATCCACATGAGATCCACGAAATGCCGTTGCATGAACGGAAAGTAACTGTTTGGGCCGGCGTTTGCGCCAAAACCATCATTGGGCCATTTTTCTTCAACGAAAACGAAACAGTCGATGGAAATCGATATCGGTGAATGTTGGCTCATTATGTCTGTTCACAAATGCGTGAAAAAGGTCCTGATGGTTACTGGTTTCAACAAGACGGTGTGCCATGCCACATTGCAAATGAAGCAATCCAGTTTCTGCAACGAACATTCCGTGCACGTCTGATGCCAAAAAGAGGGGACATGGACTGGCCACCCAGGTCTCCAGATTTGACCCCACCGGACTTCTTCTTGTGTGGTTAGTTGAAAAGTCAAGTGTAAGCCAGCAAGCCGCAGACCACTGAAGAACTCAAGGCAAACATTCGTACCACAATCGCCGTTGTACCACCAGAGATGCTCGAAAAAGTGATGGAAAACGCAGCTAAACGGGCAGCTTTTGTTTTGGCCAGTAAAGATGTTGTGTTCAAAAACTAGTCCCAATAAATTGTAAACGACCATATTTAATAAAAATACCCGATATATAGAAATCAGTTTTTCGTCTTCAAAGTTATTTCATGTTTACATACCGACATAAAAGATGGCGCACCCTGTACAAACGTGAGATTCTTGCTGGAGAAAGGAAAGTCTATGAACCTGACAGCCGAAGAAGTGGAACATATTTTCGTCTTAATGCCTTAAGTATCCCCAAATCAAAATGTCCTGGGCTAAAACCACTAAGGTTAATAGTATTGCTAATTCAATAACACGTGATAGATACGAGTATTTTCAAATTAGGAGTAATTTAATAGTTATCGATGCTGATGTACCGGAAAATGAAGTCCTCTAACTGATCGGATTAAAAAAGGTTGCAAATCACTTCGCAGTCAAGAGGTTGCTGTCGACGAACAGATGATTCCTTTAACTGCAACGTGCCACATGAAACAATTTGTTCGTCGCAAGAATAACCCTGAAGGGCTGCAAAATTTCGTGTGTGCTACCCCCAAAGGATTGGTATTAGACTTTAGAAATTTATCAATGGAAAATATTTTCCTAGAAAATAAAGTCACAAATCTGGGAGTGGGTCCATTTACTGTTGTTAAATAATTTTGTAATGATTACATACTGATGTCCATTTAAGTGGACACATTATTTTCTGCGAAAACAAAATAAAAATTTGATTTCTTTGTCAAACAGCAAGTATAAATTGGTAAAATTGCGCGTCGGTAGCCTCATATTACAATACGATGAAAGGTAACCCACCTATGCGATTTCTTGCGTTTTCCATAGTTCATCAAATTCCCTATTTTTAGCGTGCCCAGCCATATTGTTTTTAGAATTGTCAGTTCACTAATGTTCACTTATGCTATTCTATATGTTGTCAACACTATTGTATAATATGTTACAGTTAAAACCGGTTCTTAACAATAACGCATTTTCCCTAGTTGGAAGAAATGAATAACAGTGAAAACTAACTAAAAAAATCGCGTTTTGTCAAAGTGATTCAGATAAGATTTCCTACAATGCTACGAAAATTATTTGCAATTGTTACATTCGGTTTTAGCATTGGCCAAACCAAAAAGCCTAAACCAAAACGAAATGGTTTGGGTTGTGGTTTGCGCTGTTAGAATTGATGTCTGGATTTAACATTCAAATGTATATAACATAACACAAAAAAATTAACAATTTTTTTAAGACGCATAACCTCTAATTTTGCTTGAACAACGTCAAAACAATTGGAAATAAAGTTTTATGTACCTAGAACCAGGGCAACCCATGCCGAGTTGCGTTGGAACATGTCAAAACTTGCATACTAGGCGCGCGCTAGGTAACGTATTTCAGCGCTCGTTTGTTCTATTAAGCGCACTGTTTTCGTTCAGTCAACACGACGAAGCAATTACGCAGTTCTAAAAAGGAAATATTTTAAGGCATCAAATTACCGGTTCAAAACTTCCCTCTAATGGACAGTTTTGTTCTATAATATCCGGGAAGTGAAATTAAGTGTCAATGAGAGCGTCATCCTTACTATTCGTGAATGCATTATTTACTGTGAAAGGCCATGTATACCGACTAAATCTCTACCTAACTGTTGTTAAGAAACTAGTTACCTTATCCCAAGTTTTGAGAGATTTGCAAAAAATGCAAGCAAAACACAAGAAGTGTTTCAGCAACGTCGATATGAGTTTGTTGCGAACTTGGACAATCTGTTTGATATTGCGCATGCCGATGCCCTTCAATAGATGAAAATAAATAAAGATAGAATCTTCTTGCAGCGGCAGACAGCCAAGTCGACCTGGTCATTTAGCTGGGGTGGAGAAGAAATTAGCCATAAAAGAAAATGCGCGTCTTACGAACACAGAAAAACAAAAGCAGTGAGCTGAATATGTTGCTTCCTTGACTAATACCGCATTTACTATATTGTTCAACTATCTTGTTCACTGCCAATGAAGCTGTACTCTCAAAATTACAAGTCTTGCAAAATAAAGCTATGCGAATAATATTGGATAAAAATAAGTACACCAAAATAAAATCTATGTTACAAGAATTGCAGTGGTTGAATATAAAAAATTTCATATCATATTTGGTTCTTATTTTTATATTTAAAATAAAAAATCATATTTTGCCAGAGCATTTAGAACACTACATAGAATTTAATAATCATTACCACAATGATTATACAAGAAGAAATATAGATTTTCATTTACAAAATTGCAATAGTAATATAACTTGCAAATCAATATTTCAGAAAGCATTACTTGAATTTAATAACCTAAATAATGATATAAAGTCTAGTGTAATTTAAAGATATTTAAAAGAAAATTAAAATAATATTTCATGGACAATGAACATTCTTAGAGATCCAAATTTTGTTTTTTTTTTGAATGTCTGTATGTTATGTAATTGTCTAGTTTTTTAGAAGAATGTAATTGTAGCAATCATGCTCAAATAAGGAAACATTTCATAACCCCAAACTTAGAAGCAGCATTAAATAGGTGTCAGTTAAGTATGAGAAATGCTGTTTTTATTATTGAAGCAACTATTGGGGCACTTGCACTGACGAGCAAGTCCTCCATTCAAAGAATTCGTATTGAAAAGCGAAAGGAGCGCGCAGAAGCTATAAAGCTTGTTTTCCAAAGCGAGATGCCGGATACTGTAACTGTCCGCTGGGATGGCAAATTCTTGCCACCCTTAAACGCACGCAAGTCCAAAGAAGAACGTCTACCGATTGTTATAACGTATAAAAACAAAGAGCAACTTTTCGCTGTGCCCAAATCGGATAACTCTTCGGGCAGCGAGCAGGCTCAGGCAGTTTGGGATGCTATTATTGACTGGAATCTTGAAGATAATGTTCCGATTCTGTGTTGTGCGTGTGCTTCTCGAACAGAAACTTAATAAAGACATGTTTGTTTTTGCTTGCCACCATCACGTCTACAAATTGCATACAAGAACACAGGCAAGTACGAGCCCCTTCCCACTTCAGTTGGCCCAACTATTGAAATCTTAGTTTTTTTCTTATCAAACACAAATAATAAAGGGTGTTATAGGTTTAAAATATTAACAATGAATATTTTGATAATATATAGTAGAAAAGACCAACTTTATCACTTCCTAATCAAATTTGCAGCATAAAAATAACACATGTTGCAATTACAGCATATCAACCTATTTTCATTTCAATGCAAAATAAGTCTATAACGCATAGGTGGCTGTGAAAAATAAAAGCCATGACAATTGTTTTTATTAATCACAGCTGTCAGAATACGTTTAAAATAGTTTTGGGTAGTTAAGGTTTTCAAAATGGGTAGAGGAAAGGTTATTAGTGAGAAAATTCGGTTACTGATAATTAAATTTTTTAATTATGGGAAATCAAATTCAGAAATTGCAAACTTTCTTAGACTTATCGCGGTACAGTGTGAGAAATATTGTTAGAAGATATAACGTAACTGGTTCAGTTAATATTAAGCCACGATATGTGAAAAAAAGTAATATCACAAATGCCGACCGAAGAGCATTAAGAAGAATAATCGTGAAAAACAGGCGTGCCTATTATTTACAATTAAGTGCTCTGTGGAGTGACGCTGTTGGAAGGAGAATTTCGAGGTCCACAACTCATAGAGAGGCCCAGAAACTGGGATTTAGCACTTGCAAGGTAAGTTTTCTTATAAAAAAAGTGAAGTAAAAACCCTAAAGTTGCACAACTTGTTTATAGGCCAAAGAAAAGTCACTATTAACTCCACTGCAAAAGAAAAATCGGCTTAGATGGTCTAAAGAACATAGACAATGGACTCCTCAACAATGGTCTGCAATACAATGAAGTGATGAGGCCCGATTCGAAGTTTGTGTTGGTGACAGGCGCAGTAGAGTTATTCCCAAAAAAAATGAAGCATTCCATGTTGACTGTCTGAAGAGAAAAGTGAAATTTCCAGCATCCATTATGGTCTGGGGCAGTATATCATCAAAAGGAGTAGGAAAACTTCATTTTATTGATGGAAATGTGGATACAAACAAATATTTGGCAATTTTAGAAGAATCGCTTTTACCAGTGATGGAAGAATGTTTGACATCCGGCCAAGATTTTGTGTTTCAGCAAGATGGTGCAGCGTGCCATATCTCAAAAAAGACTATAAAATGGATGGAAGAAAATAATGTACCACTTTTGAAATGGGTTTCTAGCAGTCCAGATCTGTCACCTATTGAAATTTTGTGGCACGAGATGAAAAAGGTTCTACGACAACATCCTGCTCGTACAATCACCGAACTGAGACAAAAGCTTCAAGATATATGGGATTGTTTTACACCAAATTTTTGCCAAACTTGGTTAACACTATGCCCCAAAGAATTTCAGCCGTAATAAAAAATAAAGGTGATGTTACCCAATGGTAATCTTTCAATTGTTGCTTTGTTAACTTCGCGCATTTATTCGCCCATTGTTTATTTTTTCAGATGTTCTATTAGTTATAGGTCTAAGTGATTTCAAATATGTATTTTTTACGACTAGAGTGTATCGAAAATGTTTTTGAGGAAATAAATTGTTTTAGAAGTAAATAGTTTCGTCATGTTTAGTTTATAAAGGCATATTTTGGTACAAATCTTGAGGTGGGCCAACTGAAGTGGGAAGGGGCTCGTATATCCCGACTGTAAAAAGAAAACTTTGAAAAGAGAATTTAGTAAATAATGTTCTTTCAATGGTAAATATCTAAGAAATATATGATACAAATAAAGCAGTGTTTTATTTGTCGAATAAGAATTAGGTTTTGAAATCCATACATTGTTTCCCTATTAACTTTTAAAATCAAAGTGTTACCGAAAGGGTTATCGTCCACGATAGCAATAATATTCATTTTTTGAGTTATCAGTCAAATGGGAAAAATAGAGGATATGCGTATCTCAATTTGAACAAAAATTGGTTTGTCCTCATAGGCTGGTACAACCTAATAGACTCATAGTAGAAACTAGTTTCAACTAGAGAAAACCCGTTATAACTAAAAAACTGACTAACTGTAACATATGTCCAGGCATTGTCTACATCGAAACATAGGCAAAGCATATGCGTAAACGCTACAACGTTGCACCTAACCCTCCTCAAGCCACTAAAAGTTACTTACGTCATCAAATAAATATTCCTTTTCTCCCAAGCTAATTTCCTTCTGTACTGACGTCCAGAACCATTCAGCTTTGACCACCCATGCTTTAGCAGGTCCTTCTAGCCTGTCAGCTACAGTAGATTCATCCACGACCTAAATAAGGGAGAAATTAGCACGTTTAAAACACATGTTTTTCAAGCCCTCTCTATTATGTTTTATTTTATGCAGGCAACTTGAAGAGCTAATGAAATAAAAACATAGAAACATGCAAAACTTAAATAATATTGTACTACTTATATGTTATTTAACTGCATCGAGTTTTGCATGTTGCTAAAAAAAAAAGATAAGCTAAGTAATTGAAATAGTAAGAATTTCCTCTGTATTTAAAGAGTGTATGGCTAACTCCAGCAGACGATCTACTGTCTATTTTTCTAGTAATAATTTTTTGTCCCATAATAAGACAAGAGACAGTTCTTTGGTTCTGACATTAGTAATTTAGATAAAACATTGCTAGTACACACGCATTTCTTATGTTTTAGAAGTTCCCGAGCATTTTTGATCATATGAGAAAGCTTAGGACCGATAATCGAAAATATATCGGAAACTATATTTGTGTACGTTTCTCAATAGTCTTATTGTTTCAAATTATAGTTTTGAGGATTTGGATTTTTTAAGTTTGCCCAAAACAACTAAAGCATCATGACGCTTCTAGGTCCCGAAATTTAAATGTATTTCTTATTGCGGGTTCTATAACTTTTGATATATGTTGTACTAAATCCAATTTTCAATAGAGTAACAGTAACGGATGTAAGATAGGCAAATATTTACATTTTTGGTTACTTCACATTCAAGAAGATGCCAATTTATTTTATTATTTCTATTCTTACCAGTCATTTTGCATAGGTTGTGTTATCAGTTGTCAAAATATATCATCGTCAAAAGTATGCATTTGGAGATAGAACTTTTTGTTGCGCGTTATCGCATATTAAAATGCGTTTCGAGATTTGGTAGTGACAGACAAATTAATCATAGCAGAAAGAATGAACACTTATTTTATAGAAAGTGCAAATCAAATAGTGAAGACGATTGATGACGGTGATCCAAACTTATGTCCATTACAAGTATTCATCAAAGAAGCAATTTAGGACAATTCACAATCTAAGAAAAGCTATCTCAAAATTGAAATCTAATAAAAATCCAAGTGAGAATCTCTCATATTCTAAATGATTGTTTTAATATAATTGGAGAGAAATTATTATTACTGTTGAATCATTGTTTAGTACATGGTGGAATCCTTTAGGTGACGATACAATCAGGATCATGATTAATGATGAAAAAATTGAAGTATCAAGTCATTTAAATATCTTATATATGTGGATAGTAAGCTACTGTTTCACGAACATTATCAATACATAATTTCAAAAAAGATAAATTACTTCTATATAGTTTCCCATAATCTTAGTGTCTATTCCAAAAAAATTGTGTATAACACTATAATTCTTCCCCATTTTTTATATTGTTCAACCATCTTGTTTACAGCAAATGAAAACATATTTTCAAAATTACAAATTCTACAAAATAAAGCCATGATAATCATTTTAAATAAAAACAAATATGCTAAGTCTGTGTTAGAAGAACTGCAGTGGTTGGACGTGAAAAATTTCATATATTATTTAGTTCTCGTTTTCATATTCAAATTAAAAAATCATTTATTACCACCACATTTGGAGAACTTCACAAAATTAAATAGTTATTATCATAACTATGAAACTAGAGGCATTATAGATTTTCATTTGAAAAATTGTAATAGTAGCATAACTAGTAAATCTATATTTTAAAAAGGAGTATTTGAATCTAATAAATTGAATAATGATATTAAACAGAGTTCGAATTTAAAAATGTTTAAGGTAAAATTAAAAAATCACTTTATGAATAATCAAAATACATAGTGACGTAATTTTAATTTCAATCGATAAGAATGTAAAATTACAGAAAATGGATTGAAGAAAAATATGTAACCGAATCTTTATACAAAATTAGCATTGTAGCATTAATGCTTGATAAATCTTCAACAAATAAACAAATTACTTTTTGTTTTTTGTTTTAAATAAGATTTATTTAGCATGATTGCTACAATGACGTTCTTGAAAAAACTACCACAATTACATAACATACAGATATTTAGAAAAACGAAATCTATATCTCTAAGAATTTTCACTGACCATGAAATATTCCTTCAATTTTTTTTTAAAAATCATTAAATCACAAGTAGACTTTAGCTCATTATTCAGGTTATTAAATTCAAGTAGTCGTTTCTGAAATATAGATTTGCTGGTTATATATTACTATTGTAATTCTGTAAATGAAAATCTATATTTCCTCTAGTATAATAATTGTGGTAATGATTATTCAATTATACGTACTGTTCTAAATGTTGTTCCAAAAGATGATTTTTCATTTTAAATATAAAAATAAGAACCAAGCTTGATATGAAATTTTGTATATTCTGCACTTCTTGTAACATAGATTTTATTTGGATGTACTTTTTTTCAATATTATTCTCGTAGCTTTATTTTGCAGAACCTGTGATTTTGAGAATACAGCTTCATTGGTCGTGAACAATATACTAAATGTAATTTGTTTTTTTTGCAATTTTTGAAATAATGTACTCATAGTGATCACAAACTTTAGTTTACTATCAATATATATGCCTAAATATTTAATTGACTCAACATTTTCAATTATTTCACCATTTATCCTAACTGAGATAGTATTTTCATTTAGGAATTACCCTATTAGTCTACATTTTGTTTTAGAAGCATTCAATCTTAGTTTATTTTCATTCAACCAATGTATGCTTATTGCCAAGTCAGAATTTAGCATTTTTAAAGGAGTGTCTATATTTTCATACGATACGTATATTAATGTATCATCTGCAAATATCTGAATTTCACAATAATCTAAAATACTACAAATATCATTAATGTATAAAATAAATTGCAGTGGGCCTGGTTTACTATCTTGTGGTACACCAACAGAAATATTTTTTGACCTTGATAATGTACAGTAATGGACAAAAGTATATAGACAAATTAATATTGTGCTGTATTTCTTTTTTAACTTGTTTTATTAATACATCAACCTGTATACATAATTCGTTATAGCATAATACTCACTTATACATAAATAAATTCATTAGACTCCTTTCAATAATAAATTAATTGAAAAAAAAAATGGAACTATGAACGACAAAAATATATAGACAAAGCAAAACAATTATAGAAAAAAGAAGCAAAGTTCATTGAATTATAGAAAACCAACAATGTTTGTGATAGTATGTTGTAGCATAACCGTTATTATCAATCACCGCCTGGCATCGTCTCGGCATAGACAGTTTCTTGATATAAGATTCATCAATCTGTCTCCACTTTTGCTCTAAAGCGGCAAAAAGTTCATCCTTGTTTGAATAATTTATATTGTGTTCCATCTAGGGTAACATGACATGCTTTAGTATGTCTGTGTATACAAACTTATCCATAGTGCCATGTATTCTATGTAAAGGTCCCATCCCAAACCCCGAAAAGCACCCCCAAACCATAACAGACTCGCCTCCATGTTTGACAGTGGGCAAAGTGTACTTGGGGTTCAATCTTTGTCCACTAGGACGTCTAACGTAATGAACACCATCTGATCCAAACATATTGAACTTGGATTCGTCACTGAAACATACCCTCTTCCAGTCACAGATGCTCCAATCAAGATGCAACCGTGCAAATTGTAATCGGTCCTTATGGTTTTTCCTCGAGATTAGCCGCTTCTTAGTCGGGCGACGTGCAAATAACTTCAAATCATTTAATCTTCTACTTATAGTTTTCGTAGAAACACTGACAATTCCTTTTGTCTCGATTTCGGCTTTTATTTGTCTTAAAAGCATCTTTGGACGAAATTTCTTTTATTAATCTAACTGATCTAGCATTTAGTTTTCTAGGCCGATCACTTCTCTTAAAGGCTTCCAAGATACCTTTTTGTTTGTATTTGTTCAATATTGCCCAAACTGCTTTACGCTTCAGCTTCAAATTTTTGGCCATGTTGACTTGACGTTGACCATCTTTGAATAACTCAATGATCTTAGTTTTCACATTGAAAGAAATTTCTGGACCACGCGGAATGTTCTTAAAATCACTGAACTTATTCCACAATACTTGATGAACACAAACTTATCCTCTTCTGACACGAAACTGTACTAAGCTAATGCTGAAAAGAATTTGTCTGCATATTTTTGTCCCTCATAAAAAAGTGCTTATATTCAGACTTGTATTGTGTTCATTGCAGATAATGTAAAAACAAGGAATTTAGTTTTTCTACTAATAACGCATTTGTTTATGGAGCAATGAAGTATGAATTCGTTTTCTAAATGTATTTAGGTAAATATTCATATATTTGTCTATATACTTTTGTCCATTACTGTATATCCAATTTTGTTTTTTGGCTTCTGATTAAGCAATTTTGTAGAATTTGAATCCATAGCGATACAACTTTGTAAGTAATTTATCCCTGACAATAGTTTCAAACGCCCTTTTGAAGACCAGAAACACTGTCACTGTATGTTTCCTATTGTCCATATATTAGTCTTGCAGGCCTCTAAAACCATTTACATTGCCATTTCAGTAGAGTGTTTCTTCCTGAATCCAGCTTGAAATTTAGTTAAAATTTTATTTCCCTGGATAAATTTGATGATCTTTTTCTATATCTGACAACATTTAATGGCCGCATATTGGCATTCGACTCAGAATTCTTAAGAAAATAGAAAATGCTTAAAGGTGAGATTTCCTAGCTGCCGAATAATGTACATTTAAATGTTTCTATTGTTAAAAAATCCCCGCGTGTGCAATGTTGAAGTGGCGTTTAAACGGTATCTATTAAATCTACGAATACAGGCGAGTAGGCAGCAAAACGGCCAACTAACGCTGTAATTTTTACTTTGCTTCAGAGGAAATTTTTACCAAAACCAAAAATAAAAACAAAAGTAAACAGAATGAAATGAAGTTAGTACCGCAACAGCAGCTACAGAAGTTCTCCTCGACGCCCCGGCAATGTCACAGCTAAGCTTATGATTGTTAGTAGGAACAGGATTCAGGGAAATGTCAGGGAAACAACTGGCATTCAACTTATCTTTGCCGTCAACCGCGCTCGGTTCACCAAACGACAATTGAGTGGCGTTCAATTCGAGAGTCTTTCTCGATTTCCGACTGAACTTCGACGAGCTGAATGTCCTGGTGAACAGGTTTTTCTTAGGTCTCTTTTGGGCCCCTAGCGGTGTTCCGTCTGGGCACGTGGTCAGGTTCTGTACTGTGTCTACGTTAAAAACACCAGAACTTGATATGACGCTCTCGCTCAAACTCTGATCGAACGTCGTGGCATCGATAGTTCTTCGGCGATTCGAAAAGTAGTTGATCGGTGTTTTGAAGAAGTCAGAAACTTTTCGCTTCCGTTCGCTAAAGCTCTTATCCTTCTTTCTTTTGTCACCTGGTCGCTCTGGTGACACGAACCTTTTTCTTTTACAAGGGGTGACGTTCGGGTCAAACGACTGATCGAAACAAACGCTATCCAATTCATTCACAACACTCTGATTGTGAAAGTTCTCGTGCAGCGTTTCCAAGCACGTAGCGCTTTGACTTATTTTGAAGAAATTCACCCCTTTGTTGTTCTGAACAGGAGTTTTGGGAGTTTTAGTTTTAAGGAAAGAAGGGGTATCGGGTGGTGGTAGGTTCTCTGTACTATGGGTTGGCTTGACTTTAGGTGAAAGTGGTGCACTAGTAGCCTCTAATGTGTAGACTTCGGATTGATCCATAACCTAGAACCCAGGAGCGTGCGCTTTTAAAGAAGGGAACCTGATTTTACTAGAAGTCTGCTTTTAAGGATTGCGGGGACTGCGTCTAGTCTGAAAAATAGTATGTCGATAACGTGATCGATATTTTGATGGTTTTCAAAGTAACAAAAGAGATACAATGCGAATTTATTTTTTTTTTTCATTTAGTTTCTATTTCGATAAATTTTTATTCGTAACGTTAATTGAAGTTTTGATAGTTCTTGGAAAAAATATACGAGGTCTGTAAATTAAGTGATGAGACTGGCAATGTAGCGTTTCATCTGGCAACACTGGAGGCGCCGGGCTTGTAGGGAAGACAGCGAATGATGTGATCCGCCTTCAATACAAGTTTGAACTCGCTCGAGTCATTAGGTTGTCCGTAGCGATTTTTTTTATATTCTGTTCTAAAAATGAATGACATCAATTTCGAGCAAAGGTGTGTTATGAGGTCTTGCTTAAGACTTGGAACTTAGTGCAACAGAAACTCTTGCTCAACTTCAGAAGGGCTACGGAGATAGCATTTTGTCAATAGACCACACTTTTTGGTGACTTAAGGCATTTTTAGATAGAGACAGGCCTTCATCTTCAAGAACCGATGAAAATATCAACAGACTCCGGAATCTTGTTCATTTATATCGCCAGTTGACAGTCGGAATGATCCGGAATAGTTTAGTTTGACTCGCAATACCGTTCATCAGATCAAGAACAACCATAATGCTCCTTGCCACACAGCAATGTCAATAGACGAGTTTTTGGCTAGTAAAAACATTTATGTGAGTCCTCAGCCTCCTCATTCGTCTGGCTTGAGTCTTTGTGACTTTTTTCTCTTCCCAAAGTTGAAAAATCTCGTCAAGGGAACTCATTTTGGGACAGTCGAAAACATTCAAACCGACCAGCTGAGGGCTATTCCAGTTCCAGCACTGCTACGAGCAGTGGAAGAACCGTCTCCAGCGCTGTGTGGCTTCAGAAAAAAATTATTTCGAAGGTGACAATATAAAATTGTACTTTAATTTAAATAAAAAAAATCAGTCTCATCACTTAATTTAAAGACCTCGTAAATACTTCATAGATTCTGATAGTCAAAACTCACTCGACTGGACGAAATTGTTTTTTAAGTATCAATCCATCATATCAATACGCATTGAATTACTGTATTTAGTGAGATATTAAATTCTCAGGCACAAACACATAGTTGCTCAACTATATGGATTCATTCTGCAACTCACGGTAGGGATACGAGTGCGAAATCAAGCTGAAAACTATCAAAGTTTCACTTGTAGTGTTTTGAATAACATGAAAAGTTACGATTCGTATTACCACAATATTTCACATAATTATGATCGGAATGGTGTGATTACGCACTATCGCTTAAATTCTGTAATGCTCGCGGTAAAAAAAGATACTAAATATTAATTTACATAAGATAAGATGCTTAAGCTAACAGTGTCAAGAGCAAACAAGAAATATTGTTTTAAGAATAATGCACCATTTTAATACATACAGGTTTGATTACCCATTCCGAGATATATCTAAGAAATACATTTTTTATCTCATATGCTCATTGGTTTGTATCTACGAGGTTTGTCCGCAAAATACGTACAAAAAATTCGGGGCGTCGTGTCAAGGCGTCGTGAAGGGGTAGGGTAGCCCGGTGGTTCCCTCCCTCTATGCAATCCCCTCTATGTTCAGTTCGAGCCGGAGCGCTCTGCGTGTCAGTAGTGTGCTTGTGACCCTTTTTTTAACTGGCGTCAGCAGATCGAGGAACAGCGCATCAACATCAAGTTTCTTGCAAACCTAGGCCAGAATTGTCGTGAGATTTTTTAATGTTTGGAACAAGTTTACGCAGACAATTCTCTGAAGGAACCAACCCTTAACAAGTGGTTGAAAAGGTTTCGGGAAGGCCGAGAAGATGTGAAAGATGACGAACGCTCAGGACGCCCCTCCACATCGAAATGTTGAACGAATTCGGTGCTGTGCTCTTAAAGACCGTCGATTGACAGTAAGAATGATAGCTGAGGAGCGGTCAATCCCCGAAACAATCGTCCACGAAATTCAGACGGAAAAACTTGAAATGAAAATGAAAATAGTTCCGTAGCTGTTGACTCCAGAACAAAAAGCAAGGAGGGTTGCTTGCTGTGAGGATTGGTTGGAAGCAGAGGAAATTGGGGACTTTCTCAACCGGGTCATCGCTGGAGACGAGTCTTGGTTCTACGAATTCGATGTGGAGCGGAAATCTCAACGCATGGAGTGGAAGCAAGCAGGGGAACCGAAAACAAAAAAATCACGGTCCAATGAGAAAACAATGTTGATTGTTTTCTTTGATTCTCGGAGGACTGTTCACCAGGAATTTCTCCCTCCCGGCCAAACAGTGATCGGAAATTTCTACATTGAAGTTTTGCGTCTGGTCAGAGCTCGTGTAGCCCAAGTCCGACTGGATTTGCACAAGGAGGCAGGTGGATCCTTCATCACGACAGCGCGCCTGCTCACACGTCTCTCGTTGTGCGAGAGTTTTTGGCCCGAAGCTCAATTTATCGTGACAAATTCATTTAGCCTCTTGCGACTTCTTCCTGTTCCCAAAATGCAAAATGGTGCTTCGGGGCATGTGGAATCCCTCAAAGCAGAAACGACACTGCAAATGAAGAACCTCACAATTGAAGACTTTCAGCGATCGTATCAAGAGTGGAAACGGCGTTGGCAGAAGTGCATCTTGTCTCAGGGGGAGTACTTTGAAGGAAACCATATTGACATACCTGAACAATAAAATTGTAAAATAAAGTTATTATTCCACTTTGATACGTATTTTACGGACAAACCTCGTACATTCACTGGGCGAATTTGCTCTACACACAGCAATATTCATGAGGAATTGACACGAAGTGCTGTGCATTGCTGGAAAATATGGGGCTCCACTGTGAATTATGGGAAATTACGAGGAGCATTGGCAGATTTTTTTTGCAAGCTTCTCAGTGCTGATTCACCCGATATGTTTGTTATGAAATTCGATATCCAATTTGCATACGACCAAGTGGCAGCCTGGCAAAATGGACGATGCGCTGACGGTCATAACTTGCAAATGTTCACATCTAGCTGGGTTGGCGAATGCTTAGCTAATCATGGCAATGAAAGCCATAGTGTAGATCTGACAACCTCTGTTGGCATTCAAAATAACACCTCTTTCATTTGCCAGGTTGCCAGTTGTCGTAAACAAATTGATATTCATTGAATTTCAAATTGTGTCATGAAGCTCCGATGGGCACCAGGAGATAGCGCGTGTTTGGAATTCTAAATCAGATTATCTAGTCAGACTGGAATATTAAAACGTTTTTTTTTAATTCCTGAGCTACTCCGAATCGGAATTCCCGATGCAAGCTAAACCTTAAGGTAATGATTAAACATGTGGACTATTTTGTTAATCGAAAAGGACATGTTTGCTTTCCGGTTCTGTAACCATGACTAAGAGCAGACAGCATTGTTTCGAACTCATTAGCAGCTCATCAGTGCATTAAGACATATTTTGAGATAACATTCCGATTACCGTTGACCACTCAGTGACAAGGCATTTAAAATGTTTAGAGAACGCCCTGTATCAAATGTATCGTTTGATATATTGATAACAGGATAGTTAAAAAACGACATGTATTACTCAACAAATATATCTATGGTACCAACAATCACCTAAAAGCAGACTATTATCTTGCAGCAGAAATTCATACATGGTTTTAACTAAATTATTTTCATATTGAACGTAATTCACAATTAAAACACCGCTTATGTGAAAAGTGGACAAACACAACGTTAATATTTAAACATATGATGATAAAACAAACTTTGGATTCCAGTATTTGAAGATACAGTTATGAAAATATTATTTTGGGTTAAACTTATAACTAATATGTCCCCATGTTAGATGCTGAATGAATGGAAGAGATCAATGTAGATACAAACATCATTGATCACATGATCTAAATACTGAATATACTTGTATCTACATCATGAGATCCTATTTTACCCCAGTTAATATCCAGTACAAGAAAAATAATGAAGTAAAGCACTTACCACATGTGTGCACGAGATATCATCTATACTAGTGACTTCACCTCCATTACACAGCAGCACCTCGGTCATATGCTTTTCTTCTTCAGGTGGAAAGCCGACGAAACAAACTCTCGCGCCGTGGAAAGGTTTCAGTTTATGCTCACTCTAAAACATAGTTTACGAATTGGGTGAATTAAATATTTTTCCTCCAATGAAGGAACATTTATATGCTATAAAAATATTAGGCATAGCAAAGCGTTGCTTATGTAATTTTCCAGTTTGTATCTATTGACGAATCGACGAAAATCGAAACTATCATATTGCAATTCCTTATGTCGCTTTACAATTTCTTCTGCTTTGAGTTTCCTAGACTATTCCGACGTTGGTATTACGTAACATTATGTCGTTTTTTTGACATAGGTTTTCCTACAAGACGTCAACTTTTTTTTATATATACCAAAGTAATTTTGTTGATCCGATTTTTAAACTGGCTGAGGCTAGTAGAACTGGGAAAAGCTTTCTCTTGTAGATCCACAATCTCCCTGTGGATCGCTGGTGCCGAAAACCATACTGCCTGTCGCTAATCAAGCCGTGACGTTCGAGGTAGTCCAGAAGCTCGTGATTCAGGCACGTCTCCATCACCTTACTTACAACAGAAAGCAGACCTATAGGCCTGTAGGTGTACGGGTCGGGCTTAAATCCCTTTCTGGGAAGGGTTGGTCAGGAGCAAATTTCCAGTTTCCTGGAAAGGTGCCGGATTTGTAACATATCTGGACGGACGCGAAGGAACTGGAGCAAGCTCCGTTGCGCACCTCGATTCAACGGTAGAATCAAGTCCGGACCAGAAGCAGATGGTACTTGGGCGTTGTGGAGGAGGTCCATGGTAAAGCTGACAGCAAAGATCTTGGCAAGCACTTCCGCCTTAGCCTTTGAGTCGGTTACAATCATTCCATCGTAACACGTAAGTGGTGGACCGCTACTGTCTGGTAAGTTCCTTTCAATCTGATTGTCCAGCGTTCCGAAAGACCTACTGAGATTGCGCTGCGACATTACCCTGTGCTTAACTTCGTGCTGGTCTTTGGCAATGTGAACCGATTCGCTATATTTGTTTCCGGGCTCGACGTGGGCTTGTCTGTTCCTACAGTGATGTTCTGTAAGAAGTTTCTGTGTGCCTTGATCTTCTACTGGCGAGCAGCCGTTGGACAGTAGTTTAGGCACTTTCACTGTATGAGAGATGCATTCTGCTGTCACAGCGGGTTCTGACCGAAATCTAACCTCCACAACATCATGCTCTGAGTTACCCAAGAGAAACTGGACAGCAGGGCTGTACGGGACAGGATGTGTGGTCAGAATGAGATCCAACAGGCTACTGGCATGTGACGAAACGCGGCTGAAAAAAGTAGGGCTTGTCACCAGCTTGGTCAACCCTTGGATAATAGCGAACGCTTCAAGTGCACGACCTGCCGCATCGGTGTTGCTTGAGCCCAACCAATGCTCATTAAGGGCATTGAAATCATCGAGTCGAACTAAAGCGTGGTGATTGATGTTCAGGAATTCGAACGCGAGGTATTCAAGTAATTTGGGAAGCTAAGATCGGTGCAGACTGAGATTTTTGTCTCCGCTAAGAAAAGAATGGCGAGACGATTGGATTGCAGATCAATGTTGCTGTTGATCCCGCAGATGTTAGTAAAACAAATTTTATCATTGTTGTTGTTCCTTCGAGTCCACCTTCAACCCGGACATTCCGAGAGTGCAGTGAGTCTACGTCCGGAATTCTTAGTACTTGAGAGATCAGTCATCATTAATTTCTTTATTGGGGAAGATAAGCGACTGCGTAGCTTAGGGTGAAAACATGCGGACATTTACAAGACACCATGGAAAAAGCTACTGGATGGTACCGCCTCGGTCGACTGGTCCTAGTTTACCGTCTGAATGATGTTAAATAGAACTAAAATGGCCCGCTAGTGGACTTGTACCGCCACCTGGTAAACGATTCTGAGGTATTTCTTAACGCGTGTACAACCACTTGAACGAGAGGAAGTTGTATACTGAATACAACAACTTCTGGAACAAGCATTTGCCCCGGCCCCGCTTAGTAGGGTATGAAAAATAATATAAATATAGGCTAGTAACTTGGAACTAGCTATCGTTCACGTAATGCTCACTTGTAGCACTATTTGTACACTAGCCTACTTAGTCAACAAGTTGACATTGTATCGGTTCTTTTGACATTATACAATAGTTTTTTATGTAATAACCCTACCGAAGTAGTGCTGGTTTGGCTGACCCTATCGAATCCATTCTGGTTCCTGGATGGCAATGATCAAATAGCGATGAATCTATGACATATACATTGTTACTTTTGTATTGTATTTTGCAAATCCCAACTGTAAGATTACAATTTTTACATAAGCATACCGTATTGTATGTTTGATCTGTTATTATCACATTTCTTCTGATTTGTTTAGTCGGATTGATCAATCGACAAATAGGCATTATGATAGGACCATGTGATTCAAACCCTGAATTCACTCTTTTTAAAATTATTCTCATTATCAAGTACTACAGATTCTACCTCTAGCACAACACTGAGGTAAATGAAGTCTGGAGTTAATTTCTTTTCGCTTCGACAACGAAAATACAAGTGCCGATTGTTGTGTTAGTTGCATTAAATTAAGGTATTTTCTATCTTAAAGAAACGATCATTTTTCCGAATTGTTTGACCGAAATCGGCTTTCATTACACAATGTAATTGTTTAGCTCTTTGTTGATATTACAAAGCTCTGAAGACATCCCGTTTTTCTTGCAGAGTTTCCCTTCTAAATTATATCTCATAAAACTAGGCAATGGACATATAAACCCTCCGACCCTTAATCACCAAAACATTATAGCAGCCGCGGTGTCCCGGCTTTTAGGCTTCTACCTGCGCGGCTGCTTCGGTATAAAAAAACAATCAGTGATATCGTAGCAGACCGCCCGAACCTTGTTTACAACTTGGATAGTGATGTTTAGTTTGTTATTGCTGATGTTGTTCATAATTTGATACCAAAGTTTGTGAGAAAATAAGTAACTGAATTTAACATAGTTCCCAATTTGTTTTCAAATTACAATCCTGTTTGTCACTTAAAGAAATTTTTGTAATAAATTTCGTACGAACTCATGTGCAGTCGGTAGAAAAAAACTATAACTGTCAACTTCGAACTACTATTTATCACGTCAAAGTCATACTAACCACACCTTTCGTTGCGGCTTGCTACTTTATTACTTTAAACAAATAGAAAATTGTAGAAAATGCGAGACCAGCGATCTGCGTTTTAGCTGGCCACCTCGTGAAAAAACGATGTAAACCAACCCGTAAAAGAATTTAATGCCGAAAATGAATCAGGGAGAGGAACCGGGAATGGGTGTGCTCCAGATGCTGAATAAAGCACCTCTAGTGGAGGATCCACTGGCTTATAGCCCTAATTGGTTCTAGAATAATTCTGATTTTATTCAGCGCAGCTTATTTGGCGTTTCTGTTTTTATAGGCCTTGCATTATTACAGCATACAAACAATCATATTTCTCATACTCGTTTAGTAGTAGGTCACTCTGCTGTTTTGACCATGACATCTTTTTCAATCTACAAGTATAACATCATACAGCATAAGCCAAGGAGTTTCGTGAAACTGATGAATACAACTGATCACAACTGAGGAAAGTGTTTTAGGTTAAGCTTGTTTTTGTGAACCAAATATCATCTCATCTAATCATCACAAAACGTCAAGAGACTATCAAGGAGAAACACAAAACATGTGATTCCTTGTCACGTAGCGCTTCTATCAGCCACTGTACTGCTCCAAATGCGCAGTAGGCGTCTGCTCACTTTAGGCATGATATTATTTAGAACAGGTTAAATTATGTATTAAATGGTGATTGACACTATCCTGGATTTTGTACGAAATTTAGCGTACTAAATTTAGCACAAAATTTCGTATCGTCTCATATACACATTTTTAATATGTATAATCGTTTATATTTTGTTTTTTCGTATGTTATTCCGAAAAATCCATAAGCTAAATAAAAAATGGCTGAATCAGAAAAAAATATAGGGAATGAACTAGCGGGACTTTTTGTATACAAAACACCCCGATGAACAATCAAATCGGCTTTTCTCACAAGGTACTATCCGAATATGAGAAAATTTGATTTTGTAAAATATGTTTCCAATAACGCGTTCATCAGAACATATCTCTACTTGACGACAAGATGCAGGTACGTTTGAATGTAAAACGTCAGTGCCAATGCTCGCTCGATGAGTAATACCTTTTACATTGCTAGATTTACATGTAAATCTCAAAATGGCTTATCCTGAACGATTTGAATAAATCGTATGTATAAGGAGTTTTGAGGTGACGATGTGGAAGTAGTAACGTCAATCTCAATGACCAGCCGAATAGCGCTATTTCTGATCGGCACCCTGAGGAACGGAGACATATATTTCTTAGGTAAAACAATATAATATGCTTACGATTTTCATCTTCAGTAATATTCCCACAACAACAAATCACTTTTATCGTAAAATGAAAATCTATTAGGCACACACAAGTAAAATGAACATAAACTTACAACAACTTTTTCCGAAGTCGCATTGAAGTCCAAGTCATGCCTCCTGTCCCAACTGTGATGAACCCATTGCAGATTCATAACTGGTAACTTGAACGTAACAGCGTACTGATATTTATCGCCACCGCACACGTTAGCAATCAAATGGGTTACTTTTGTAGACATATCTTTTCGTATGGATCCGCCCATATGGTGTATCAAAGGTACCAGCTTAGTCTGAAAACAATACGTACAGAATCTGAACTAGAAAACATATAAACACAACACTGCAGACAAGTTGTCTTCTCTGATCTTTCGCGCAAACTTTCCAGTTTGTTATCGGTTGTAGTGCGAAACAGCACCACAGAAAATAAAAATAAAGTTGTTGATTATAGCGCGGCGCTTTAGATGTAGCAAATGTTTTTTGTACATAAGGATTATGTTATCAAATCATGGTACATCATGTCTATAATGAATGTATATTAATTTCATCACTCAGATATTTTTCAATTAGCATCAAAACTTCTGTTGATAACTGTATGCAGAAACTGGACTTTATCCTGATTAGAGGTATACAGTTGAATTGAAGTCTATAAGTGCTTATTTACAAGACAATGTTTATTAGAACTGGCCAAAAACCAAAAATTAAATAAACAGGATTTTGAGGAGACCCTCAAGTTAATGCAGCTCCTGAACCTTATCGTGTGAATGTCATGTTCATGGGACTCCATTGTCTACCTCAATCAAAACTACGTATATGTTTGGATTTCAGTTTATTGTACGACGTTTTGATGGCCACTAGTCTGTACATATGACATATGGGACAGATATCAATTGTACTTGAAAAAGGCCACAGTGGTGGTCGACACGTCATAAATAAATAGCGTTTATTGCCCAACAAGACCATTTACAGTACAATCCTGAGATAAATCAAACTAGCAAAAATATAAAACATACAAAAAGCAGGTGATTTCATCTAATGGAAAAACAAACAAGGAAGATATTCAAAAAAAGTATTTCACTCAAGTTAGAAACATAAATCATTCAGGTGATTTCTAGCTACTCCCAGAATGCTGTTCAAACTGTCAGCATGTGCTTGTATATCTCAATAATTTCCACAGATTACAAATATGGGTGCTTTCAGAAATAAATATGTGCGAGCCCGGTCACAATAATAGGTTTTAGGGGTACAATTTTGAATAGATGTGACAGTTGAGCCACAATCTCATTAGCATCAATTTGATTGTGCAGTAGTTTATGCAAGAACATAAATGACGCACACTTCCTTCTCAGCTCTAAAAGACTGCATTTGGAACCTAGACAATAACAAACTTTCAGATATACCCTGCTCCGAATTTTAGAAACATGCTCAAGAGAATCAATGTAGCAGTTGTAAAGTGGCTTTCACATTAACGATGTATATTTCAATTTTGATTTAATATATGCAGAATACAAAACCAACAGTGACTCTGGGTAGCTGAAGCTTCTGTGGTTTCTCACAATAAAACCGTATGCCTGTGAATCTTCACTCATCTTTTGAGCTATGTGGGGTGAAAAATTTAGAAAAAGTTTATGGTCAAAAACTACACCCAAATCGCTAGTTGCGTTATAAAGACTTATGTTAACATCCCCAATCTTATAGTTAAATTTACAAACAGAAGTTTTCCTAGAAAAGCTGGCTACACTACACTTAGATGTATTAAGAAATAAATCATTCTCAGCCTCAGACTCAATAATCCTGAATAATATTAAATCATCCGCAAAAAGGAGTTTATTACAACTTAAATATTGCACAATATCATCAATAAATAAGATAAACAATAAAGGACCAAGATTTGAACCCTCAGGCACTCCCGATTTAGTTACATACTGGAACGACTTGAAGCCATTGAAAGTAACATATTGCTTCCTTTCATAAAGAAAACTTTGAATGAATGCTAAAGCTGAAAAATAAAGAGAAAGTTTATTTAAAAGTATGCCATGGTCCACCCTATCAAATGCTTTAGCAAAATCAGTATATACTATATCTAGTTGACCTTACCAGTCGACACATTCAATAGCAAACTGAGTAAAGATTGTTAAATTAGTTACTGTGTATCGCTTAGTAAGACACCCATGCTGAAAAGGGGACAGAGATCTGTGAACTGCAGAGTGAATTCTATTATGCAATATTATCTCCAGCAATTTGGAGAAATTTGACAATATTGCCTCTGCTTTATAATGTTTAAGACATATCAGTATTATGCCCTGATTGGAAAATAGATGTCGCTCGAAAAAGTTTACAATCATCAGCAAATGTATTGCTTGCTATATTCAGACTGAATATTTTTAATAATGTTTTAACAAAGACATGGATACAATCATTGACTATGAACGAGGGGATCTTGTTTGGGCCGGCCGTTACTTTATTCTTGAGTCATATATAATAAAATAAAATCTAAACATGGATGTGGTTGTAACTTGTGCAGAAAATGAAGTCTTAGTGACTTTAAAGTGTTGCAAGTTCACAATGACAACAGTACTAAATTGCCATTTGGCATCTGTGACTACCTCTGTCAGCAGCAATATAACTGTTGCCTGGATGGAAGGGTCATTCACTGTCCAAGAGTAATATTAAAACCAATGGATTGGCAATAAAGGCTTCTGAGTTCTCAGTCCAGAACCCCTCTATCATACATACAGTAATGGACAAAAGTATACAGCCAAATATGAATATTTCCCTAAATACCTTTAGAAAACGAATTCATACTTCATTGCTCCATAAACAAATGCGTTATTAGTAGAAAAACTAAATTCCTTGTTTTTACATTATCTGCAATGAAAACTAAGATCATTGAGTTATACAAAGATGGTCAATGGCAAGTCGACATTGCCAAAAATCTGAAGCTGAAGAGTAAAGCAGTTTGGGCAATATTGCACAAATATAAACAAAAAGGTATCTTGGAAGCCTCTAAGAGAAGTGGTGGGCCTAGAAAACTAAATGCTAGATCAGTTAGATTAATAAAAGTAATTTCGTCCAAAGATCCGTTTAAAACTCAAGACAAATAAAATCCGAAATCGAGACAAAAGGTATTGTCAGTGTTTCTACGAAAACTATAAGTAGAAGATTAAATGATTTGAAGTTATTTGCACGTTGCCCGAGTAAGAACCGGCTAATCTCGAGGAAAAACCGTAAGGACCGATTACAATTTGCACGGTTGCATCTTGATTGGAGCAACTGTGACTGGAAGAGGGTATGTTTCAGTGACGAATTCAAGTTCAATATGTTTGGATCAGATGGTATTCATTACGTTAGACGTCGCGTCGTAGTGGACAAAGATTGAACCCCAAGTACACCTTGCCCACTGTCAAACATGGAGGCGGGTCTGTTATGGTTTGGGGGTGCTTTTCGGGGTTTGGGATGGGACCTTCACATAGAATAGATGACATTATGGATAAGTTTGTATACACAAACATACTAAAGCATGTCATTTTACCCTATATCGTAGACAATATGCCCTTAAGATCAATCTTCCAGCAAGATAATGATCCGAAGCACACTTCAAATCTCGAAAGAAATTCTTTCTGGATAAAAAATACCAATTCTCAAATGGTCTTCACAGTCTCCCGATATAAACCCCATTGAAAATCTATGGGAATACTTAGATAAGCAAATACGAGATAAACATTATTCAAACAAGGATGAACTTTTTGCCGCTTTAGAGCTAAAGTGGAGACAGATTGATGAATCTTGTATCAAGAAACTTCTACAATCTATGCCGTGACGATGCCAAGCGGTGATTGATAATAATGGTTATGCTACAAAATATTAACACAAACATGGTTGGTTTTCTATAATTCAATAAACTTTGCTTCTTTTTTCTATACTTGTTTTGCTTTGTCTATATATTTTTGTCCTTCATAGTTCCAGTTTTTTTCAATTAATTTTTTATTGGAGGGAGTCTAATGAATTTATTTATTTATAAGTGAGTATTATGCTATAACGAATTATTTATACAGGTTGGTGTATCAATAAAACAAGTTAAAAAAATAAATACAGCACAATATTAATTTGTCTATATACTGTTGTCCATTACTGTACATAGATACATGACAAGTATTCACACCCACAAAGCTTCCAAAAGCATGTGAGATGATACATGATCTTATACCCTGAAGAATTTGTCAGCTCCACTAGTGAGAAAGTAGCAAAACGTTACTTATGTTCAGACAACTACTTCAACCTACCAGTGACACTGGATGGTCAGCTAAGGAAGCATCTTTACAAAACTCAGTGATACGTAGCTACAAAAGGAGGTGTGAACCAGTAGTTTTTGACACTAAAATGAGGTTTGTTGAACATCTAAAGTTTGTCCTAAAAAACGTATTTCAGTATACATGCTATTATAGCAGATCATAATTTACTGACTTTACAGTAAAAAATCTAACTCCCTCATTTAAACATTTGCAGTGGACCTCTATACACAGATGTTTCTTTTAGATCTGTCTCACTACCATGAAAATTTTCTCATTAACATAAGAGTCTTGCACATATATGCTTACCACTGTCAGTATGACAACTTGCTTGATCTTCAATATGAAACATCATAATGCCTGAAGATACAACTACAATGCACAGTGAATCCTTCATAGGCCAAAAATCCCAAAAACTCATGAGTTTATAATGGTTTAAATGAGTCGCTAAGTTATCGAGTAGGCGCGAGGCTTTTAAAAAATATGAATAACAGTGCAATTAGTTCAAACTGACATTTACTTTTGTGTATCGCAAGTGACAGCTTCTCGAATCTAATTACCGGGACATGTAAGTCATAGCAACTCACTTACTTTTCTTGTTTATTATAATTTCTAGCCTAGTGTTTTCTCATAGTGATAATATGGAGGTGCAAGAATATGGTATGTATACTTATTATTTATCTGTTTTATGTAAAAACATGCGTTTTGGAGTTTTATATATATTTTTTATTGAAAGTTGTTTTTGCTAGATTTTTTCCTACAAAATTAATTATTTCAAGTTATAAACTTTTGGCTGCACCTAGCTGCAACTGAGATAAATGTTATCTTAAAGTAGAAAATGTCTAGATTAGGGGCATGTAGGTTTCATCTGCATCTTGCTGCCCCTTCTTAGGTTTGTGTGGTGCCAAACCATTTGTAGTACAGAAAAAAGAGGTGTTTGCCAAATCCAATTATCTTGTTGTTTTAAGTAAATTTTTCAAATATTCTGTTTCAAGGAGCACTATTTTTGATATTTGGCACAAAAGTTGCCTGTTAAAAAAAAGATGTATTATCAAAATCTGTGATGGACTTGTTAAGTTAATTGTTTCCATTATAATGTATAAAAAGTATTAGAGATTATAATCTTTTTCAATATACCTTGTTTGCCCTTAGAATGAACATTTTTAGTACCTACATACTTGGTATTTTTTTTTTTCTAAAAAGCAATCTTATAAATTGTATTTTCAAGTTTGTAGAACTGTATTTTAAGGTGTAAAATACAATGAAAAAGGTAAAATCTAAGTTGTGTATTTATAGCCACCCTAGTATGGAAGGGGAATGACTGTGCAATGTTGACAGTCTGTATTACTGTTCCTTATCAACAAATTCAACTGTGTGAGCAAGAGCGAGTAGCAATTGCATGTGGAACTTGTGCAGTGTACAATTGCCCTTAAGGGGGTTAAGCTACACACTTAATGCTATTTCTTTACTCATTTCATACAGCACTGTAACTGCCAAAAACTGTGTTACTATAGAAAATTTACAGCACAAAACAGTTGTTGTAGATGATTAAACTACAAATTTGTACAATGTGAATACAATATGTAACTTACCAGTTCTTCCTTATTCCTGAATCCAGTGAAACAAACAACTACTCCGGTCATAGCTAAATTGAATAAAGGCCTAGTATTCAGAGGAAGTTTCTCTTTTTTCTTAACAAGCTGTTGCAGTGCTGTCGTTCCCAACAACCGCTTCCGAGTTTTGTGTAAATTTTCATATACATTTCCTTCAAAATTTTCAAGTACAAAGATCGTACTGTTACTATCATCATGGATGTATTCTTGTCCATCTTCAGAGGTGACCACAGGTACACCATATGACTCTGCTACGGTTCGAAGTGCTGTATCATTTGTTAAAGCGCCCACTAGGCACAATCTCGTATTAAGGCTTGTAGGCACTGCGAAATAAATGGGAAACATTACTCATACGTTTGTTTGATCCCATCCGAATGGGATAATCAAGAAATCTCAACCTTGGAAAAAGTCAACATAACCTACCAAAATCGTAACGTATTTTTTCAAAGTAATTCGGAAGTCACGGGAATTTTGCATGCAAGTACTTACCGTCATGTTTAGCAGAGTCGTCACCATTTGAATCGCTACAGACTGAACTTTGGGATTGTATTCGAGCTCTAACTTCGTCCATTTTGGCGAAGCAATTTTTTGGTTACAACATCGAAAATATATTCAGGCTGGAGCAACGAATAGTCCTTTTATAACGGTTTTGTGAAAGGGGTTAGCATAAGAGGAACTATACTATAATAACACTTTGAACTATTTACAGCCACTTTAACCACATTTTTTGGCGTTTTTACTTTGTTTGGAACAAAAAATACATCACTGGATCTTTCAAGTCAAATTTGGCTTTCTCATTGGTTTACCTGAGAAACGTTCGGGAATTTCCGGTAAAATGGAGGGGCTGCGTTTGAATTTGTCAAAAGCTCGTGCTTGTATAAATTCTAGTCCAAATAATTCTAATATGTACTTCCGTTTCGGTTCATACTTTTAAGTTAAGTATACATTTATAGAACGTAGTGAACCGCTGTAGTATTATTATCACACTTTGTATTCGTAACGCTTTAAATATAGCTCATGGAAAGTATTTGCTTTTCTTGAATGAAATCTCGAAATCACACTGCGCAAGCCTAACCACGACGAAAACTCCTATGGCGCATATGGGAAAATTTTGAAAAATTGTCAGAGAGGTTACAGTTCAGTAAACTTTCGAAGAACATTTTTGCATTCGAAGGAGTGACCTCAAAAATATATCACTTGATGACCACGCAACTAATCATCCCTTCGATGTTAGTCGATCCCATCTCTCTATTTATCGTCGGTGATTCTTCAAAACATAAATATACAGCGTGTGGCATCTTTAATTGGATGAAAAGGTGGTAACGCCCAGGACCGTATTGAGAGCTGTTGTTCACATATCTAGATGAGAATGTTGACAATTAATTATAGGAAAAATATATATTAGTGGATGTGACTGTCGTAGTCTTTGACCTTCCTGTTCCCAACTGTTTGGTGCGGTCTCTACCTAATTCCAAGGGCGTCCGGAGGGATTTTCATAGGGGCGGTTACGTTTTAAAAATCTGACGTCACGAATATGATATAGTGGATACCAAATAAAACCCGATGCACGTCATCGATCTGGAGCTGTGCGCTGTTGCCAGAATTTGCACATTTTCTTTTAAGCTAATAAATTTAATAAAATAAATTGTTTATATATACCTACCATTTACTATAATACCATTATATTAAAAATAAATAAACTTGTTGTAAAATTAAATTCCTTTCTGAATAAAAACAGCTGATTTCGGTAGATATTCAATGATATGAGCTCTTTATACCGATTGTTAAGTTGTTTTGGCATTTTGGATACTTTACACCACTTCACAGTAACTGTTGTTCTGAAAAGAACAATTTTTAATTGGCAAGGCAACGATTCAAAGCTCAAATAGCGCAAGACTCGCAAACTAAACAATAAAGAACTAATAGTAGACAGTCTACGACAAAAGGACAATGGCAACTGATGTCAACAAATGAGAAGTGGCAACCTCACATTTCTCTACACGGCACTACCAACCGAATCGAGACGGGGAAATTTAAACTTCAAGTAGAAATGTCACATTGAATGTAGTCAACTGTTGGTAACCATGATTTTTATGAATGACATCACCTATGACGTGCATCGGATTTTATTTGGTATCCACTATACACGCAATTAGGTAAGATAATTTTTGCTGAGCTACTTATACTAGATATAACAATTAACAGCAGTGGAAGTGAGTAAAAGGAACATCCCTAAATATTACAGTAACAGTTGACAGCAACGGAAATCCTACCAGGTTTAATTACTACGTGTACTTTGCATCACTCTCTAACAATTTTAACGTTCGTGATGGTTTGACGTACCTGTTTCATGCGTTCGGAAATAAAAGGAAGTAATACTTCTGGAACGTCAAAAGTGCGCTTTTCCTCCCGCGCTCAAAACCTTCCAAATAAGAGTGTTGTGTTGTCCACAAAACATATACACTGAAGAAGTTTTAATTCCATGCTATTCGATGGCAACACGGTGACTTGTGTGGTTGTCAGCGGCCCTTTTTTGAGGGTGCGACATGGTTGCCAGATTGTGAATTAATATCCCGCCAGCTCTACATATACATCTGAGAATGCTACACTTTTATATATAGAAATTTGGTGGGATATGGGAGATCTTATAAGACCATATGTTATATACATATATATATATATATACATTTTGCGCTAACTTGACGAATAAGTGCTTTTTTGTATGTTGAAATAGTAACGTCAATAACACAAGCTGTTATAAGATCACTCTACTTACTAATCTGGAAAGGTTCAAAAGAAAAACATATATTGCAAATACCTAAATATATATTCATTATATAAATGATACATTTTTTGCCTCACTTTCTGGTTAGTGGCTAAACCTCGCACCATTTTTGCATGAATATAAACTACCAACAAGAAAATACAGTTAGATACTAAATACAATTTCTAACGACGTTGACACAAATGGTATTTTGACATTAGTATCGCCCTCAATTGTTTTTGCATAGTCTGCTAGTCTCTGCTTATCTTTAATGTTATGCTTCTTGAACTGTTTGAACATTTAGTTGTCACCATATTTCACGGTATTTTAGTGATTTTGTTTGTCTTAAAGTAATAAATTTGAAATCGGTGGTGCCGCTATTAAAAATATCTGTTTATTATGCTTATCTATCAATATAAATTGATTGCCAAACATTTTTAGAAGGCGGCAGTTAATTTATGGGTCCACTTGTACAAAAAGTAAAGGTGTCCGAATATTTAGTTGTTTGGGCTCGTAAGATCCAATCTTCTGATCGCCCCTCTCAGTTTATTGATTGCCAAACATTTTTAGAAGGCGGCAATTAATTTATGGGTCCACTTGTAGAAAAAGTAAAGGTGTCCGAATATTTAGTTGTTTGGGCTCGTAGTATCCAATCTTCTGATCACCCCTCTCAGTTTATCGATACAATAGTCGCTTCTTGGCGCAGCAGTGGCAACATGGCAGTCACGTGATTTTTGACAGCAAACTGACACGCGACAGGTAAGATTCAAAATCAATTTTTCATTGGGGTTTACGTTTTGTGGATGTGTTAATTCGTAGAGCTTTTTAAGAAATAAGCTTAATTAATTGATTTATAGAATTACTGTATTACATAATTCTCCAGCGCGTAGGAAGCAGATATTAAGCTTACGATGTAGTTTACTGTGCAGTTAGATTAGTAATAGAATACTGTCATGTCATAATCCGCTGATAAAAAACGGACAAAGAATCGAATGATCCATTTGGCAGAAAGAGATCAAGCATGCAGGAGAAAATCGGTTTTATCGCAAAATGAAATCCAATCTGTCGTCTACAAACATAGCAGCATATGATAAGCAAGAGAGTGTAATTACTGATAAGTAATAATAATTTTTCTTTGTTTATACGAATATCTTGACACGGCCGATAAATATGTACCTACTTGACGGGTGGCTTATTTTCAGATCTGTGAGTCCTTCTTCCAGCCCTAGGAGCAGCCCTAGGCCCTCCCCTAGACCGCAGAATAAACGAGACCATTCCAAATCTGATTCACTTTTAGCTGTTAATTATAATAAGGAACCTCACAATACAAAGCAGGATGGATCTCCTTCGGTAAGTCAAATAGTTTTTACATTAATTTGTAGATCAAGTCATCGTTACGTGAGTATATTATTATTAAAAATTTTGTCAAAATAAACTTTTATTATACAAGTGTTAGAAAGTAAACTTAGTGCAGTGTTACTTAACCCATTAACGCCCAAATTAAGTTTGAACATTGAAAACAGATATCATGCATATAAGTTAGTTTACTAGGACTAAAATAAAAACTTAAGATCATAAAACCGTTTATATTTCATTATTTTTTCCATAAAAATATCTGTACTCATTTGAGTACAATTGGTGAAATCATTTATTTTGCATGATGTAACTTGAAGCATGCACGTTCAATACATAGTGTTATTTTACACTTCTTGCAACTCCAACGAACCCTTGAATGGCATACTGCACATGGTAAATGCTTCTCTAGCTTCGCAGGAAAATGTCCGAATTTATCTTGCGCAATACTATCTGGAAGTGATGCAGGCCTCAGTCCATGGTTTTCCTTGTCGTTTCGTAGGTAGTGCCGAACAACATATCTTGTAAATTGAAGTTGCGTTAGCTTACTATTTTCTGTTTCTTCAGATTGTATGAGAGATATTTTCCAGGCATTGGTCATAGCTAAGTCCAACATATATGTGAACAAAACCCACCACTATTTCTTTCTGCGAATTCCAACTCTGTACGTATTTACAGAGTGGTCACTAAGGTCAACTCCTCCCATATGGCTGTTGTAATTTCTGTATAAGTTCAGCTGCTGAATTTGAACCGGTACCTTTTTTGCTTTTGACCACCTATGAGCTTGATGGTCTCTATTTTATCATAGTTGGTAATAATTGATACAACGACCCAATGGACTAATAATTGTTCATTTTGTTGTTCAAACCTAAAATCATAAGTACCTCGATCATATTTGGCCATAGTTTTGGCCGAGTCTACAGTGCACTTTTTCAATCTGTTGTCCCTTATGGTAGCTGTAGCTCGAAATCTGTTCTCTCGCAGAACTTTCATGAGTTGAATTGTTGTAAAATAATTATCGAAATATACACGTTGTGTTGGGCTCGACACATTTTCCAATAACTTTAGCACAACATTTGATCTCAGTGAGTCTGCTCCTTTCTTCAAAGAAGTTTTACCGCAGCATTCTTAATGCTCTTCGGTCGGCATTTGTCATATTACTTTTTTTCACATATCGTGGCTTAATATTAACTGAACCAGTTACTTTATATCTTCTAACAATATTAGTGATAAAGTTGGTGTTTTCTACTATATATTATCAAAATATTCATTGTTAATATTTTAAACCTATAACACCCTGCTACATTTTTATTATTTGTGTTTGATAAGAAAAAAACTAAGATTTCAATAGTTGGTCCAACTGAAGTGGGAAGGGGCTCGTAGATAAGATTCAATAGGGTCAGCTAAAGTGTTCCATCTAACATCTTGTGGCATCACGAGAGCTTTTCCACCAGATATTTTATATTTGCCTGCTGCGAAAGGTACATTTCTAAAGTACTTTATTACCTTCTTTATGTGTTCTTTCAAAGTGTGCACCTGAATATCTTGTGCAAATAAATTTAAAATGTGTGCAGAACACCCATAAGTAAGTATATCAGCTAGACCTGCTCCATCGCATTTTGCTAGTTCGGCACGCATCTCAGTCATATTTGCAGCATTATCTATGACAAAACTTCTGGCAGTACAATTATAATCTGTGTAACAACGCCTTATAGACTCCACTAATAAATTTAACAAGTATTTAGAAGTATGACTTTTGTCTTCAGTGTCAATTAGATATACTTTAGATTCTTGAATATCATTTACGGACACACACACTACTGAATCATTTCTAATATTGATCCAACCATTAACACACTTGCAGACTGATTTATTACCTAATTCCTTTTTTATTTCTACTTGTAAAGTTGTGTATACGTTACTAAGAAGTTCGTTTCCGATTTGCTGACGATTAGGTGGCTGATATCCTGGACGCAATGCTGACGATTAGGTGGCTGATATCCTGGATGCAACATTTCCATTAGCCGCTTAAACTCGGGGTGTTCAACTGATCTAAAAGCACAGTTTGTGGCATAAACAAAACGTGCTACTTGGATATCAATTTTTTCTTCTCGCTACATGTTGTTTTGGCAACGAATGAATCCAGTCGCGATTTCAGTTGGACATCGTCTCTATCTCCTTGCCTTCTTGTCAATAGCGAAAACTGGATGACGGTGAACTGGAAGCACTAATAACATTGCTGTTAGTGTAGTAGGTCTGTGACGAGCCATCTAAAAAATAAAGTATACCTATGCAATAATTGTAATAGTATCTAAAAATTCAATGCGATTGATTAACAGAAATTTGCTTGTACAAAACAAAAAGTATATACCGAGCCTTAATACGGACCTGTTTTATTTTTAATTCTTATACAGGGCGTTTCAGTTTATTGTTGCATAACTTTAAGATTCGATAGAACTTTTAAAATTAATGCATAAAGTCTATATAAACATGGGTCGAAAAATGCGTGGCTTCCGAAATACGGGGTGTAATTTACTTTCTAAAATAGTTTTTTTTTAAATATTTCGAACAATATTTGATGTATAACAGTGAAAATTGGTATACAAGGGTTTTTTGGTACGACAAAACGAACCATGGGCATAGTTTTACTGTAGCCGCTAGAGGGCGCTCTCTACTGTACCTGTAGTGTATTAAAATAACCGAAAATTTTTTCTTAGTTCAATTTTTTGCTTTTTGAATAAAAAAACTGATTCTTCGCACTTTTCAACATAAAAAGCTCTCTTGTGAATTTTCGTTATAGTTAGCCGTTTTTGAGATATTTCGATTTTTAAGGTTCGATGCATTTTTAATTTATGGGAAAATAATATTTTTTTTTACATTTTCGATTTGGGCATTACAAGTAATTAAGATGATCGTTTAGATTGTGTTTTTAAACACAACAATAATTCCTAACTTCAAATAAACACAAAAAAACTTTTTAACAAATTAAATTAATTATTTACAACTAAAATGCTATTGGATAGTTAGGACAAACATACAAAATCTAAAGTAGTTGCTCGAAATGTAAACCCAATTGTTCAATACACAATTCACATCTACGAATGATCGAACGTGGTATAGCATTATTCAAATAAGGCCTTATTTCATCACATGCATTCCTGATTCTGTCTATTAGCATATCTCTTGTGGTTACGGGAGTCTGGTACACTTTTTCTTTTAGAAATCCCCACACAAATAAATCTAATGGATTTAGGTCAGGGGATCGTAGAGGCCAGGCGACTGGTCCTCCACGGCCGATTCATCTTTCTGGATAATTTTCGTCCAGCCAGTTTCTAACTATTCTCGAATAATGAGCTGGACAACCATCAAGCTGGAACCAGGCCAATCTTCTTAAATCTAACTTAACATCATCCCACATATTTGCATGTTCAGCTTTTAAAAATTCCAAGAAGGTCGCAGCATTTAACCTTGCAGGCAAAAGGTAGTGTCCAAATAGTCGATTACGGTAGATACCAATCCACACGTTCACACTAAATTCATGCTGGAAATTTCTTTCCCGAACTGCATGCGGATTTTCATGCGACCAAATGTTGATTATGAAAATTTACCACTCCACGTCTAGTCAAGCATGACTCATCGGTCCATAAAACGTTACTTGAAAACTCCCTATTATTATCAGTTCTATCAAGAACCAACTGACAAAATGTGATTCTTCGTTCTCCGTCCTCTGGCTGTAGTCCTTGCACAGGTTGCAGGTAAGGACGTCTATGGTCATTTCTAAGAACACGGTGAACATGGCTTGCTGAAATTCCCAAGGCACCAGAAACTCTCCTAACACTTGTGGTCGGATCTCTATCAAACTCACGCAGAATCATACGGGTAAATCTGCGCTGACGAACATTTATGTTATATATACGTATATATGCACTCTTACAAACACTGAGCGAGTTGGATGCTGTTTGGAAATCTTCGTGCGTATTCTCTGGCTGCTTCTGCTGCGTTTCCATTTACAAAGCCATACACAAAATGAATATCCGCTAACTCTTGGTTGGAGAATAAAAATGACATTTTTATAAAACTTACAAAAAAAAACCAGGTAAAAGAAACTAAATTTCGTGCATTCACAATTATTGCAAAAAAACGTTTCAGGTTTCAACAGACAACAAAACTAACTGTCAACAAATTGACGCTTAACCTTATTCTGCTTTCAATTTCAAAAATATTTGTAGGCATAGCCCACTTCTAAAAATTATCGAGATACTGACTTTTTAACGTTATTTTATCATAGATAATTAAAAATGCATCGAACCTTAAAAATCGAAATATCTCAAAAACGGCTAACTATAACGAAAATTAACAAGAGAGCTTTTTTATGTTGAAAAGTGTGAAGAATCAGTTTTTTTATTCAAAAAGCAAAAAATTGCACTAAGAAAAAAATTTCGGTCATTTTAATACACTTCAGGTACAGTAGAGAGCGCCCTCTAGCGGCTACAGTAAAACTATGCCCATGGTTCGTTTTGTCGTACCAAAAAACCCTTGTATACCAATTTTCACTGTTATACATCAAATATTGTTCGAAATATTTAAAAAAAACTAGTTTAGAACGTAAATTTAAACACCCTGAATTTCGGAAGCCACGCATTTTTCGACCCATGTTTATATAGACTTTATGCATTAATTTTAAAAGTTCTATCGAATCTTAAAATTATGCAACAATAAACTGAAACACCCTGTATATTTAACATATTTAAACAAAATTTAAAAGCAATTAGGTATTTCTTACCTTTTTCACAATTCTCCAAGGTACTTCACTTTGAGGAAATAGGTTCGGTAGAAACATCATCATTGTGGGTATCAGAACTATCTAATATATTAGTATTTTGTTTTTCTAACAAACTTCCTTGTTTAAGTTGTTTACAATTTTTAATATGCTTGCGCATTCTAGCCACCAGTGGCACTATATCCATATTGCAGGTTAAACATTTTGCTCTTTTAATTATTTTCGAGCCAGCTATGGCATCGGCCCCTTTAAAATAGTTCCACACGGGATCTTTTCTCCTAACTGTCATTGCCTTTCTTTTTTTGCCTATCTTTAATGCACAAAAAATAAAACACACCACCACGCTACGACTTAGCACATTTGACTGCTGGAGATGGCAACGCGAAAAATTACCCAAAGGCAAACGGTACTTTCGCGAGTCCGCTTTTAAATTAGAGACGTGCTCTGATAGAGCCGGATCAAAAATAGTAATAACACTTTCAATGAACTTGATTAACATTGCTAGATTATACAGGGTGTCCGCAAAGTTGGGGTTTTCCTCTTCAGAAACAACTAACCTTGAAATAGCAAAGGTAATGTGTAGTGAAACGAGGGCGAACAAGTAAAAAAAATAAAGGAAAAAGTACTCACTCTCCAATTGACGAGAAGGGCTAAGTACGCCTCTGCCCGAAATCATACCGCTCCAACAGAAAATGAAATCAGCTGATGCGCTACCGAGCAGACGCAGAAACCACATTGATTGTCTTACACTTAATGGCACATCTTCTAACAAGGAAGGCAAAATGTTGCGTAAAAAGTCTAGGTATTGCATCCCGTCCAATCGATTTGGGAGAATAAATGGTCCAATGAGCATACCGTTCACCATGCCAGCCCAAACATTCACCGAAAATGTTTGTTGAAAATGTGCCCGACGGACAGCGTGCGGATTTTCTACTGACTAAACATGAGTGTTGCGAAAGTTATTCACCCCATTACGCGTGAACGTAGATTCACCCCATTACGCGTGAACGTAGATTCGTCTGTCACCAATATGCACTTCAAAAAGTCCGGATTATTGTCATGTTGATGCAACAACCACTCACAAAACCGCACTCTTGCTGGGAAATCGTCAGGTTGAAGGGCTTGTACACGTTGGACGTGAAACGGATACAGCCCCTCTTCACGCAGCGTTTGCCACACTTTAGTTTTTGATACTTGCACTTCTCTAGCCACGTCTCTAGTGCTTGTTGAGGGATTCTCGTCTACGCGATTACCTCTACACGCGTGACCATAACCGTCGGTTGAAGGTTGCATACTGACCTGACACACTGACCCCGACCCAGTTCTGTCGTCGGGTTGAGCCAGTGACCTTGTACCAGTCGGTGATGTCACGGTTACAGGACGGTATTCAGATATTTTTGATGTTGCAGAGCCTTTTGTCTCGGTTCCCTTAAGACATTGGTGTATATGGTACTAAGAAAAATTGCTTATTTTTTCAAGATCTACACGTCGAGTAAAGGAAAACCCCAACTTTTCGGACACCCTGTATAGGCAATAGTGTTTAATTTTTTATTACTGTTTTAAACATGTATTAACAGTTATTTAAACATGTTTTATTTCAGCTAAATTTGAATGGTTTAAACAAAAAAAACACGATATTTGTTTTTTTTAAACATGTTTCTTTTCATCCCTTCAGCGCAGTGATTTAATTCGTGGACACCAGGATTTTATTTTCGAAGCTTGCAAAGAGTCGTGGATTCGCCGAGCAAGATTTTGCATCAATCGAACGAATGGGGACAATTTTGAACCGTTTTTGTAGAAACGGTATTCATTTAACTTGATAATGATTTTTTTTTAATTTTTATGCTGTAAACTATCCATCTTATTATGCAACTTTTATATAGGTGATTTTTGCTATATAAACTTCTTTTGGCGAGCTCTACAAGCTGCTAAAATAAATTACTCAACTTTGAAAACACTCTGTATTTCACATTGCTGACGTATTTATTAGTTTGTCGGAAAAACTGTTTAAGCAACCACGTAAAGTCAATTAACGAACACTGCATGGTTCTAGTTTTTAATTAATGAACGTGCCGTATACAAAATAATGTAAAATGTCCATTTCACACGTAATAGATGGTGCGTACTCTTATTTAGAGGTACAATTACAATATCATTTATAACTCTGGAAAATATTCTAAAAGTGTTTATGATCATTAAAGTAATTAAGTATGATGTTTTATTCTCGTTGGTTTTTGTACCACAAACATCAAGGTGAAGCTAACAAAAATCTTTTTATCAGTACAACTATTACATTTATGTAGCGTCATCCGTGAACTGCGCGAAAACAGTAGCTATAAAAATGGAAAAAACTGCGGGCTGTGAGGTTTTTTATGTGTTCATGCATATCCCAAAGAGATTGAATATCAAGCTGCCAAAGGTTAGAGGTAATTTTTTTTGGTGTAGGGGATTTTTTTCAATGCATTTTGTTCATTTTCATTAATCGGAATA